CTCTAGTGTGGTAATAGCCTAGTAGTGTGTCACTCATAGTGTGGTAATAACTCAGTGGTGTGTCACTCTAGTGTGTAATAGCCCTAGTAGTGTGTCACTCCTAGTGTGGTAGTAACTCAGTGGTGTTTCACTCATACTTGGGAATAACTCAGTGGAGTGTCACTCATAGTGTGGTAATAACTCAGTGGTGCGTCACTCATAGTTGTGGTAATAACTCAGTGGTGTTTCACTCATACTTGTGGTAATAACTCAGTGGTGTGTCACTCATAGTATTGTTATGACTCAGTGGTGGGTCACTCATAGTGTGGTAATAACTCAGTGGTGTGTCACTCCTAGTGTGGTAATAACCCAGTAGTGTGTCACTCCTAGTGTGGTAGTAACTCAGTGGTGTGTTACTCATACTTGTGGTAATAACTCAGTGGTGTGTCACTCATAGTATGGTTATGACTCCGTGGTGCGTCACTCATAGTGTGGTAATAACTCAGTGGTGTGTCACTCCTAGTGTGGTAATAGCCTAGTAGTGTGTCACTCCTAGTGTGGTAGTAACTCAGTGGTGTGTTACACCAACCCAAACTGTAACTATTACTTTCCTGACTCTCCCGAGTTTAGTTCTAGTCTCCTACTACCTCATTCCTTCTCCTTGATTAGCCATAACATCAGCAGGATTCCCCTTCATCTAGATACCTCTTTAGATCAGTGTTTATCTTCTATTGCCCATAAATTTGATGTACTTGGATTCTGTGAGAACAAACTCACTAACGATATTGACCATTCGTATAACATTCCTAATTATAATAGACACTGCGTCAACACGTCACGACACAGTGGTGGTGTCGCCCTATATGTTGATATCAAGTATAACACTTCTGTAAAAGATGATTTATAGGTTCAGGAGGAGTACATGGAGTGTTTTAATTGAATTACGTAACGACACACGAAATATCTTCGTAGGAGTAATCTACAGAAGACCCCACACTAATGTAAGGAATGTTCTTGATAAATTTTCAGAGCTTGTCACTATCATAAGTTCAGAGAGGAAACATTGCTATATTACAGGAGATTTCAACCTTGATCTATTAAAATCAGAAACCGATACCTCAGTATTAGACCTTCTTCCTACCTGCCATTCTAAACTCTTCTTCAGCGCTATAACCAATCCCACTAGAGTAACTGCCACCTCTGCCACTGTGATAGATCATATCTGGACTAACAACACTCCTAACAATCTTGCAAGTAGAATTATTTATAACAATATCTCAGATCACTTCCAAGTTTTTGCCATGTATAAAACAGTCACAAGACCTGAAAGGTCTAGTAGAGTCTCAATACAATACAGAGACTACTGCACCGACAACATGCTCCTTTTTGAAAACAACCTAATGAATGCTAACTGGGATCTTGTCTATGCCTCCGACAACCCTAACGTAAATAGCTGCAACTTCTCTTGCATCTTCAATGCTTGCTTTGATAATTGCTTCCCGCTCAAGTAAAAGTTAGTGAAAACCGTATTCATTTCCAAACCCTATATCACAAGCGAAATTTAGATAATGATAAAAGAAAAACACAAACTCCAAAGGAAATTTGCAAAAAGCCTTAACTTTCGGTGATGCTTACCGAAGTATCAGAAATAGAGTAACTCAAGCAGTTAGAAACGCCAAACGTAACTATAATACAAATAAGCTTCAGTCAGCATCAAGTGACGGTAAGAAAACCTGGAATGTCACAAATTCTATTCAGTACAGGAACACTCAGCCTTCGGCCCCCAACTCAGCTTTTATGATAAATGATTCAGTTGTAACGGAACCCTCCCTCATTGCCAATATTTTATTAATGTTGGCAATAATTTTGCAGAGAGCATCCCTGATCACCATGAGGAATTTAGAGCCTACCTGCAAAACAGACAGCAAACTGAGCTGTTCTTATCCCCTGTTACAGCAGATGAATTACTGGCCATCATAAAAATTTCCAAAGATGCAGCTGCAGGCAAAGACAATATACCAATGAGCATCATTAAGAAAATAGCCCACTTACTACTACCTGTTCTCCTACACATTTGTAACTCCTCCTTCACTAGTGGTGTCTTTCCGGATAAACTGAAAATTGCTAAAGTTCACCCAGCATATAAAAAATCTGGGGACAAAGGTCTTCAAGAATTACCGCCCCCATATCAGTCCTCCCAGCCTTGAGTAAGATACTGGAAAACCTAGCATGTAATAGATTATATTCCTTCTGCAATGCCAATAACATCTATACAGACTCCCAGTTTGGATTTAGAGCTAGAAGGTCGACTGAGAGTGCTCTGCTATCCTTCTTTTTTTTTTCTTTTTTTTTACGGGTATTAGCCCACCCGGGCACAGGTCACTGACCCATATCAGGGCTTGGGGGGTAATAATAATAATAATAATAATAATAATAATAATAATAATAATAATAATAATAATAATAATAATAATAATAATAATAATAATAATAATAATAATAATAATAATAATAATAATAATAATAGTAATAATAATAATAATAATAATAATTCAGATAAGTAAAAAAAAATAGTAATAATAATAATAATAACTGCAATAATCATAATACAGAACCATAAAGAAAAAAATAAAGAGTGAGAAACAATATATATATATGTTATGTTGTCAATGTTAAGAGAAACAATTGAGACCCTGCAATTGTGTGTAAATGAGGCAGAAAGTCAGATCAGCAACCTGGGACTTGGTTACAATTTTCGTGATGCCATATGGCAGCAGGGTCTACCATTAGACAACACATTATGCTTCCAGTATCTTCCCAGGCAGTAGTACCTCCCTGTTTGGCATCTTAAATTCCTTTGATGACAGTCAGTTCACAGTCGGTATATTCTTGGACCTCTCTAGAGCCTGTTCCATAATTGGTTTACCTCATATCTGTCCAAGAGGATGCAGTATGTCTGCTATAATAATCACCAATATGACTCCTCGCCAATCTTGTATGGCGTCCCCCAAGGTTCCATTCTCGGTCCAGTACTGTTTTTGTTGTACATAAACGACATAGTCCACGCCAGCACACTCATAAAATGCAACTTATTTGCAGACGATAGTAATCTCTATGCCAACAACTCAGACCTCCATTCCTTGATGAGAACTATGAACACTGAATTGATTAAAGTCAGAACCTGGGTAATATATAATAAACTGACCTTAAACCTTAAGAAAACTCACTACACGATTTTTCACAGAAGGAAAAACTTACCCCCAGACTTGGACCCCCTTGTACCTTGGTAATACAGTCCTCAAACGCGAACAAAATACTAAATTCCTCGGAGATATTGTTGATGAGAAACTTAACTGGAAAAACCACATACAATCCATTCACAGTAAAGCCAATAAACAGTGGGGTATCATGTATCACACTCGACAGTCACTCACTCTCACAGCAATGAAAGAAATCCATCATGATCTTGTTTACCAACACCTGATACACTGTCACACACTATGGGGGGCCTCTGGCTCTTCAAAAACACAATCTCTGGTTATTGCACAAAAGAGAGTTGTACCGACAATGACCTACTTGAAAGAAAAAAAACAGATCACACAAACGAAAAATTTGCTATATTGAAAATGCTAAAATTCGAAGATATTAACACCTACTGCTGTGCCCTCTTTGTCTACAAATCTATCAATCACTTGCTTGACAATAATTATTTCCAGTTCCGGAATAATCAAAGATACAACTTAAGGCACCCAGAGCCACTAAGACCACCCCCCATGCTCTCCTCTTAGTCCCAGACCTCCATAAAATATCAAGGTGTGAAGGTGTGGAACAACTTACCCCCACCCATCCGAGGAAAGACTACGCTCCCTTCCTATAAACTATCTTTTAAAAAAATATCTATTGTCTAAGTATTAATATTTCTTGTAACACCTACTACATTTACAGTACCTGCTTTTATTGTACCATCAAAACAGTTTTATCGGAAATTATCATGCAAATAGATAAGTAATTACCATTGCATTAAACATAATTGCCAACTAGACATAATCCTGACAGCTCTGTCCTCTTGTTCAACCTTATTACTGTACAACCCATGTTGTACTGCTCCCCCATTATACTTATGTTTTTCAATTACACTGTAATGTATGTATATATAACTAAATAAAATGAATTAAAGAAAAATAATAAATAAATAAAATTAATAAATATTGAAGTGATAACCGTGGTAACATTATGAGATGTTCTTATTACCACCATGCTATTGTACTATTCCCGATGATACTAACTGTTACATGATACTTCCTTGAGATAAATGTATAGTATATATTTGGTGCCTAAAAGAGAGCTCAGGTTCTCAACTGGCTCAGCCATGTTAATATTGTTATTATTATCCACTCTGTATCTGTGTTATTCTGGCAAAATAAACTTTTTCAATTCAATTCATTGTGTGGTAGTAACTCAATGGAGAGACCTCACAGTATGTTAATAACTCAGTGGTGTGTCACTCATAGTGTGGTATTAAATCAGTGCTGTGTCACTCATAGTGTGGTCATATGTCAGTGATGTGTCACTCATAGTGTGGTATTAAAACAGTGGTGTGTCACTCATAGTGTGGTATTAAATCAGTGGTGCGTCTCTCATAGTGTGGTCATATGTCAGTGGTGTGTCACTCATAGTGTGGTATTAAATCAGTGGTGCGTCTCTCATAGTGTGGTCATATGTCAGTGATGTGTCACTCATAGTGTGGTATTAAATCAGTGGTGTGTCACTCATAGTGTGGTTTTAAATCAGTGGTGCGTCTCTCATAGTGTGGTCATATGTCAGTGGTGTGTCACTTATAGTGTGGTAATAACTCAGTGGTGTGGCACTCATAGTGTGGTAAAACTCAGTGGTGTATCACTTCCAGTGTGGTAGTAACTCAGTGGTGTGTCACTCCCAGTGTGGTAGTAACTCAGAGCTGTGTCACTCATAGTGTGATAGTAATTCAGTGGTGTGTCACTCATAGTGTGGTAGTAACTCACTGGTGTTATGGGTCCAGGAGGTGGAGGTGTACAGGTCCATCAGTGGGGTGTTATGGAACACCTGACGCAGGCCCACCGTCACCAGCCTCAGGTTGTGGTAGTGCTCCAGCAGGCGACCAGCCACACCCTGTCGCAAGTTCACCACCTTTGACGTCATGACGTACCACACTAACGATTGCGGGTTCTGCTGCACCATGCTGCGGCAAAAAGGAGTATGTTAACGCCGTCGCCCCTCATTGACGGAAGGGCGTTGATGAGCTTGAATTTATGGGAACTCCGCCTCTTCAATGCACCCAGACACATACTGTACACGTGGACTCTTACGGTTCACACAAAGTACAGAACACCTGGCCACTTGCGATACACAGAGGTATACATGACCACTTAAAATACATACACAGGTACACTTGACCGCTAACGTTACAGAGGCATACATGACCACTTACGATTAATACACCCAAGGTATAAAGATCATTATATCTTGAATGTACCGATACATATATGCGTACAAAAGACAAGTACAATTTGCTGTTGTTGGTACTAATACAAGCGTATGTTGTATCTTACAGTATACGTACAGGCAAACACAGCTTCTTAAAGTACATAGAGGCATATACGGCCTTTTACAATACAATGAAATACAAAAGTATAGTACTGGACATTTTATTTTATTTTATTTATTTATTTATTTTTATTTTTTTTACGGGGTTAAGCCCACCTGGGCACAGGTCACTAACCTATATCGGAGCCTTGGGGGCCAAATGATAATAATAAAAATAATAATAATAATAATAATAATAATAATAATAATAATAATAATAATAATAATAATAATAATAATAATAATAACAATAATAATAATAATAATAATAATAATAATAATAATAATAATAAGTAATAACAATGTGGTAATGGTGGTGGTAAGGTGTAATAATGGTGGTGGTGTGTGTAATAATAATAATAATAATGGTGGTGGTAATAAGCAGTGGTGGTGGTGGTGTGGTGGTGGTGGTGGTGGTGGTGGTGGTGTGTGTAATGGTGGTGTAATGGTGGTGGTGGTAATAAGCGGTGGTGGTGGTGGTGGTGGTGGTGGTCAGTGGTGGTAATGTGGTGTGGGGTGGTGGTGTGGTGGTGTGGTGGTGGTGGTGGTGGTGTGTGTGGTGGTGGGGATAATGGTGGTGGTGTAATAATAATAATAATAATAATAATAATAATAATAGTACAGAAACAAATAAAAAAATAAAACATGAAAAACGATATTAACTGTATGTTGTGTTGTTAAAGTAAGAGAAACAATTGAGACCCTGCAATTGTTTGTAAATGAGGCAAAAAGTCAGATCAGCAACCTGGGACTTGGTCACAATTTTTGTGATGCCATGTGGCAGCAGGGTCTACCATTAGACAACACATTATGCTTCCAATATCTTCCCAGGCGGTAGTACCTCCGTGTTTGGTAGCTGCCTACTACCTACTACCAATCATCTGATGAATAGGGAACATTTCGTCGCGCGTTTCATCTTATCATACGTATACAAATGCCAGCACTCGTTACTGGTACATCGGCTGGCGTGTTAGGTTAGATTTATTGGCGTGGGAGGCGGAGGGGGGGGCAGGGCGGCAATGGCCCCTTAAATTCGGGCATCACTGAGTTTTTCGGGCATTTTTACCCAAAATTTCGGGCAATAACCCAGTACTTATTATTTTTTTGTTTTATATTGTTTTAAACGCATAATGCAACAGGTATTCTAGTTACCGTCAGTCACAGTATACACATGCATACTACCATACATGTGTCTATACTCATCACAGTTTTGTTGACCTCAAATTGCACAGTGAGCTTTGAGAATACTTTAACAAAGGCATTTGTATCACTTTCAGTATGATAAATTAAAACCCATCTGGCAAGTTGCCAGTGGTAACATTAGTACTGGCTCGCAAACACAGACAGGTATAGATGATGGCCTCATGTTCATATGAAGCATGCGAGGTAAATAGCTGTTCAGTGGACATATACTGTTGACAGTATATGTGTTTTTAATGAAGGAAATGAGACAAAAACTAGAGTAAAAAATCATAATTCAACTATTGAAAAGTAGTAAAATAATTTTTTGTTGAATAGATTGGAAAAAAAATAATTGCAGTCAACTTCTCACGAGATTAATGTCAACCGGTCAAATGCACTGAATGTGGTAAAGAAAGCAACTCGGACTGCAGTACAAGGAAAAGCATGCACAACTTTGACACGGAGGAAAGACAGTATAATTGCTTGTCGTGAATGACAGCACACAAAGGCAACTTAGTGAACTCTTTGTAAAGAGACCTACTCCTGACCCATCTGTTGGACAGCAAAGAGAGCACTAGCACTAAGCGAGATGACGTTCCAAATTTACAACCCCATAGCACTGACGCAGGAATATTAAAATGTAATTTACCAGAATCTCGAGAGTCTGAAGTGGCTCAGAATCCAACAAACGATGCTGGTGCAATTCCGCATATCGACTTAGATGCTAATACTGATAGTTCAAGTAGCGAATATGGTGATGATGAACGGCCTTGGCTACATACTCCAGCTAGAAATTATCCTCAATCTGTGGAACTTCGGCCACGTCTAAATCAACCAATTTTGAAAAAGTAAAGCCCAAAAAAGTTCGGCAAGGAGACTACACTAATGGACTTTAATCCGAAATGGTACGGGATTCATCATTGGCATAGTGCAAGGTGTTCATGAATAATGATACGTACCTTCAAATTCAAACTGAACGACTAAAAATCATTCAAAGAGTCAGTGCCACTTGCTAGCCATGACAAAATGGATAAATTATCGAGTAAACTAAAAACATGAAAGACCCCCCCCCCTCCCCCGTCTTCATCAGAAAATTCCAATACTTCTCCTTTAATGTTGTATTGTAGTCAGGCGTTTTTGTCTAGTAAAAAGTAATCACTGTTGACCTCGAAATATATCTTAATGACAAGTGCACATGGCTTCAAAATGGTCTCAAAATGCCCATGATATTGGTCAGATATCAAGAAATTTTCGGGGAGCTTACAGCGACCCCCAAAAAAAAACATCTGGGTGGGCTCGATGTGCTCGCCTTGTTCCCCCACTCACAACTTCTTGGACCCCCCTTTTTGATATTCCTGGATCCGCCCTTGCCCTGATATATACTGTGCGCGTATTATCTGCCATTACATCAACCTCACCAGAACTATGGTAATGCCAAACCCCATAGAAGTAGAGTTAATGGTTATCAGATAATGAAATTGTGAGAACGTCAGCATTCCAACAGCCAATCACTGTCAAACTACATTGTAAACAAACAAACAAACAGATTCCACGAATAGCATAACGCGCCAGCCTATGTGCCACTTGTGAGTGCTGGCAATTGTAAATAATTAATCATTCGACAAATCCGGGACCTGACTTTTGTCTTTCACTGTACATACAGACACACTCTGCCTCTTATAGTACACATACAGACACACCCGATCGTTTATAGTCCACATACAGGCACTCGCGGCCTCCTACGGTACACCTACAGGCAGATTAACCCAGCTTACCTCTCCACGGCGCACCAGGCTCGGTAGGATGGCTTCATGTTGCAGGATGTCTCAGCCAGTAGGATGTTGCTTACGTTCCCCTTCCATTCCTTCTCCAAACTGGTGAAGGACGGAACAATAAAACAATACTAATTAGGCAAATGAATGAAGATCTAAGAGAAGGGATGAATCAGTAGGTACAGATCGTTGAAATGAATCTGTATCGAAGAATTTTGTGTCTGTAGCCAAGCACTTGAAGATGACAACACTGAGGAACGTCTTTGAGATTATCTGCCGAAATCTGTTCACAACAACCTATCTAAAGGAGCTATTGAACTTGAACTAAGAAGTGACGTCTGAAGAACTCGATCTGTAGAACTTAACGTGTTAGTCTTACCTGAAGATGTTTTGCAGCTTCATGTAGTCTCCAGGTGCCTCGGCAGGTAGAGGACACTCCACCGTGCCCTTTCTCCACAAAGCAGCGCCCTTCATGTAGAAATCATCAACTCCACCCACCACAGCTTTGGAGGATATGATCTCGTTCTCCGGAGACGGGAGGACAGGAGCACCCGACCACCGCCAAGAAAGTCTACTGCCGAGGCCTCGATTTTCGGACTGAAGGGACGTCCTCACTAGGAGAGAACGAGAGGGCGGAAATAGGTATCGAGAATGATAACATTTGATTAAGGGGACAACAGCTGCTTTGGAAGGCAACAGGTGTTCATGGGGGCAACAGGTGCTGAAGTAAGATGCATATAGCATAAAAAGGCTTTCATCTCCTATAGATATATCCATAATTTTTTTTGTTCTTTCTTATAGTAACAACTATGATATAATTCAAAATTTCACAAAATAAAGATTAATCAGGTATGAACAGTTGTGGGTAAGGATCAGGTATCAACAGATGTGGGTGAAGGCCAGGTATTAACAGGTGTGTGGGGGGGCTAGGTATCAACAGGTGTGGGTGGGGGCTAGGTATCAACAGGTGTGGGTGGGGGCTAGGTATCAACAGGTGTGGGTGGGGGCCAAGTATCAACAGGTGTGGGTGGGGGCCAGGTATCAACGAGTGTGGATGAGGGCCAGGTATCAACAGGTGTGGGTGAGGGCCAGGTATCGACAGGTGTGGATGGAGGCCAGGTGTGAAGAATAGTTTGTCTTATTTAGTATACGCTATTGATGTAAGTGTTGGTGATCAAGTGTGACTACAATTTAAGAATATGCAAGGTACTTTATTTGGATTTTGCTATATATCACCATGCGATTCGCCTTATTATTCACATGCATCATTTGCTGCTATCCAAGAAAAACTTTATGGCTATGTCCTCATTGGTGATATGAATGGAAGATTTGGAAAGTCAGTGAGAGATTTACTTGCCCATAAATAACCTTTAAACCCCAATCGATTATCACACCCTGTGATAAATGATGTCAACGTTGCCAATGATAATGGAGAGTTACTGTCCACTGTATACATTGATAATAATCTATTAGTGATTAATAATCATATGACACCACATAAGCACTTTTTGGGGCAATAAGACTTACGGGAAAGGAGACACACGGATTTCAGAACTTGACACATGTATTGCATCTCAAGGCTTGGTTAAATGCATAACTGTTTTTTATGTTGTACGGTGGAGTGGTCTCCCATCCGACCACGCCCCGATTGCAGTAACGGTTGCCACCACAGGCGTGGACTTGGATAGCATCCTTACAAGGGCAACGTCGCTGAGAGATCACCCGGCGCTATATAGTAACGCTGCCAAATGTGTGCTCAGTGAAATTTAGTAACATTGATAGACAAGAGTTTGAGGATAACGTTGCTCAAATTGGTGTAGTTGATAACAGTGATAGAAATGTAGTGGCAGAGAACGTGACCGATGCATTAGACACATGTGCTGGGAAGTGTACGGAATGTGGAGTACAGTGATGATAACTCGGGTAGATGGAAAAGGTTGCTACAAGATGATGATGACTCGAAAGTATGGAAAGCAATAGATTGGAAGGGGAATTTAAATGTCTGGTTATGGTGATGATAGTTGCCCAAGCGATGAGGAGTTTACAGCTCATTTTGAAAATGTACTTAACCCCCTGATATTGTGGACCCTTATACTGATGAAGTTAATACAACCATACCTATCCTGGATGGCCCCATCTCGCCCGTAGAGGTTCATGAGCAAATTAAAAAAATTAAGCCAAATAAAACATGTGGGCCCGATGGGCTTTTCCCAGGTGTATTTTTGTTGCTACCAGCACAATGGGTATTAACTCTGGTCACTCTCTTTAACAGTGTATTTCGTTATGGTCAGTATCCTGTTTCATGGATAAGGGCAAAAGTGTTTACAATATTTAAGAAAGGAGACAGATCTGATCCACACAATTGTCGCTGCATCAGTGTCACTAATTCTATTACTAAATTGTATGATATGATTTTGTGTGAAAGATTATACCAATGGTTCAGGCTATACAGGGAGCAGGCTGGGGCACAAAAGAAACGCGGAGGTATGGAGCACATTGTAACCTTGCGACTCCCTACCGATAGAGCCAGAAGAAAGAAAATTAAGCTTTTTGTTACTTTTATAGACTTCTCTAAAGCTTATGATTTGGTACCCATGCACAAATTATTATTTGTCTTAAAGCGAATAGGATGTGGCATGGTGATGCTTGCGGCTGTAATGGCAATGTACCGCGTTACGGAGAGTATTGTGGGATCCGCTGCTATAACAGCTACTTAAGGTGTAAGGCAAGGTCTGTCCACCTCATGTTTTCTTTTTATAATATTTGTGAATGAGTTGATAAAGAATGTAAAAGGAAAATGTCAGCCGGAGATAATTTTAGAATGGATACATATATTGATGCCTGTAGATGACACTATTGCTGTCTACAACGAGGAGAAATATGATTAAAAAGTTCAGTATATTGCAAGAATTTTGTCATGAATATGGAATGAGGATAAATGCTGGCAAAACAAAGTTTTTCGTAATAAATGGTGACGCTGAGCCGCTGCGCTTGGATATACATGAGTAAGTCGTTGAACACTGTAACAGTTATGTATACCGAGGCTCACCATCCACGTATGACAGGTCCGTGTCATCGGCAGCTAAAGAACATGCAAGAAACATACTGTGTCATGTGTTGAAGTTTGCCTCTTTTATTAAAAGGAACAATAATGTACCGTTTATCTTAAAGCGTCGCGCGTTCGACGCGGCCCACATCATCCCTTCTGTACGGGTGTGAATCGTGGATAGAGGCTGTCAAACCCGTAATTAAACTTTACAACTGGGCCATAAAAGAAATGTTGGGAGTGAGGAGAACAACACCCAACTCAGTATGTCACGCTGGGTTGGTCTACCCTTCATTACCTGACTTACTTAAATATAGACAACGCAAATTCTTTCATAAAATGTGCTCTGAGAGAAGCAACATGAATGATGATCTTTTGTCATTTACCATAAATTCCTTTATTTCCTCTAATATTCCTATTGGAAAAATTTTACGCGATATGATACACAATAATGTTCCCAATATGTCTGTATTAATTGGAAATGTACATAATGCCATTGACAACTCTGACACATCAAGATGCAATGTATATAAGGACATTAATCCAAGCTTTATAGTGCATGATGTTTACACCAAGAAACATAAAATTAATGATTTGCAAAGAATATCTTTTACACGTTTTAGTGTGTCTGGGCACAGCCTGGCAGTGGAGACAGGACGGTGGAACAGGCGGGGGCATGGCCGCCACCCCTTGGAACAGCGCCTGTGTGTACAGTATGTGGCCTCGTGCAAAACGAGAGGCATGTTGTGGAGGCTTGTCCTAACACCCAACATTTTAGGGACTTTTATGGCATAAATTCCTTATATGATCTGTTTTCCAAGTTCACAAATGATATTGTATGTAAGATTATCCATGACATTTTATGGTTGTATGATTAATGTTCCTTGTTCAATTGATGCTTTCTACATGTTTACTTTGTTTAATATGGTTAAAAGATTATTTGTTGGACTACGATTATCTATTGTTTTTAATATTTTACAATGAAGGTTTTGCATTCAAATATGTTGTTTGCACCTAGTGTAATAATTTTAGTGTAATCTGCGGTCAGTAAACATATCTATCTATCTATCTATCTATCTATCGAGCTATCTATCTATCTGGGTAAGGGCCAGGTATCAAGAGGTGTGGGTGGGGGCCTGGTATCAACAGGTGTGGATGGGGCCTGGTATCAGCAGGTGTGGGTGGAGGCCAAGTATTATCAAGTGTGAGTGAGGGCGAGGTATCAACAGGTGTAGGTGAAGGTCAGGTATCAACAGGTGTGGGTGGGGGTCGAGTATCAACTCACCATTCAGGAATGACGAGGAGAGAAAGCAGACGAGAAAGAAGATACCAGCAGAAGCCCGAACCCTCGACCTTCTCTTATAAATTCCCATTTCCCTGTTGCCAAGAATCACAAAGAAAATACGAATCATAATATCAACCGTACACGATTCATAATATATGAACAAAAACACGAATCATTTACACAGAACACGAATAATTATATATCAATAAAACACGAAACATAATAGGTATATAAACAGGAGACGAACCATATATCAAAAGATCAAGAATTAGATATGACAGGACACTGATTTTCTGACTTAAGGTTAGACGAATGCTAAAGCAAGATGTCAACAAAACTGCACCGAAACTTTAACCTTCTCATAAATTTTCTTAGAGGATAAAGGGGTAAATTTAGCAATAATTAACAAAATAAAGATAGTGACGTAACTATACTTGAACTCACCCCAGGAAGACTAGAGATGGCGCTTGTTTGGGGATCTGAGACGCGCTGCTTCTACCCGTCTGGTCTCGCTTCCTCCAACTGTTGTACTGACTTAATTGACTAGCGAACAGACTCTCTCGTGTTGCCCCTCCCTCCCCCTCTCCCAAGTAGAGGAACAAAATCCAAGTAAAGATAAAGGTACGTCACCAAGTACAGGTAATCATATTTCGAAATGGTGGCTGTATATCTTGTTATAAGCCCTGATATGAGTCCAATTGAGGAAGATATCTTAAAAAAATGAGTGCGATGACAAAATCATTTGAAAGTAATACCTTAATCCTTTGAGTACGATAACGAGCTCCCTTGAGTACAAGACACGTACTCAGGAAGTTGGGTCACTGTACTGAGGGGGCCAAGTTGTTATACTAGGTGTTAAGCCAGCTTAGTCAAAGGATTAAGACATCGTATGGCGAAATTATCATCAAATAACTCAGGACTTTCTGTCGTCTATTACACTCGACACTAACATTTCTGGGTATTGTCAGGCAGTAAGACTGATAACCACTCTTACATGGAGGGTCCTACTTGCGATGCTCAGCTTCCATTAGCTATAAGATTTTTTTCATATCGTTATTATTATTATTATTATTATTATTATTATTATTATTATTATTATTGTTGTTGCAAAATACCTCTTCGGTCATACAAAAATAAGAAAGTAAAGTAGTGGTAACCTTCACGGGCCTCACCTCGTGCGACACTGCTAACGGAATAGGGTAGAAGAGGTGTACAATATGAGCCAACACGCAGGAAAAACCCCATAATGAATGAATGAATAAAGGCTCTATAAATATATAAGATTCTGTCTTTTACGGGTTCATTTATCGTAAACGGCCTCCTCGCCCCCTTACCTGTGTCTCTGTGGATGGTTCTTATCCCAGGCACTGTTTTTAGCTAGGAAGCTGAAATTTGGACACAAATACGACTAAATACTTCGGAAGAGAAGATCTTCGTCTTCAATATAACAAGGCTCATAGCAGCCCGCCCATCAGAAACCAGCAATTACACCAAGAAACACACAAGAGATCAAGCCGACCTGAAATAAAGAACAATAACGACCATTCACCAATCAGAGCACAGCTCGCCTCCCTTACGCAAGCGGTGTTTAAACCACTGCATCTTACCTCTCGTTCTACAAATCACTTCCAGTCTCCCTTTATCCTTCCCCTGAACCCTCTTCCCCCCTGTCACTAGCCTTTACTCATTCATTTATTTATTCATTCCGTTAGCAGTGTCGCACGAGGTGAGGCCCGTGAAGGTTACCACTACTTTACTTTCTTATTTTTTATAACCGAAGAGGTTTTTTGCAACAATAATAATAATAATAATAATAATAATAATAATAACGATATGAAACAAATCTTATAGCTAATGGAAGCTGAGCTTCGCAAGTATGACCCTCCATGCGTGCTGTTAGCGGGAAGATGACGTCTCAATATATATTGTATAGTCATGGTAAGACCGTTGGCAGTACCGCTACTCAACAGCGTCACCCTGGCACTGAGGTTCGTTGTCCTCAAAGCCCACAGGGAGAGCGACAACCTGACGTCACCACCTGTCAGGATTTGGCGTTCCGTTGTGTTCGTTTATAAGTATTTCTAGGTCTCCACAATTATGATAATTAGGCTCATATTCTGAGACTATTATAATTACAGTATAAGGTAAAAGTTAGCCGCATATATATCGAGATTTCCACAATGTGGATTTTGAGACGAAGCATTAACATGATCATATATATACAAGTATATATATATATATATATATATATATATATATATATATATATATATATATATATATATATATATATATATATATATATATATATATATATATATATATATATATATATATAAATATATATATATATATATATATATATATATATATATATAGATATATATATAAATTCTTTTGTAGAAGTAAGAGTGGTTATCAGTCTTACTGCCTGACAATACCCAGAAACGTTAGTGTCGAGTGTAATAGATGACACAAAATCCTGAGTTATTTGATGATAATTTCGCCATACGATGTCTTAATCCTTTGACTAAGCTGGCTTAACACCTAGTACAGGGGTCACCAAACTTTTTTCACAGTGGGCCGGATAACTGAAAGAATGACGCGCGCGGGCCGCATAATATTTAAATTTATATTGTATCACAACGTCTCGTGTTCCATACGTTTTATCAAGCAAATTCAAGTACCGTCGGCAGGCCTGATGAACTGACGTCGCGGGCCGGATCCGGCCCGCGGGCCGTAGTTTGGTGACCCCTGACCTAGTATAACAACTTGGCCCCCTCAGTACAGTGACCCAACTTCCTGAGTACGTGTCTCGTACTCAAGGGAGCTCGTTATCGTACGCAAAGGATTAAGGTATTACTATCAAATTATTTTGTCATCTCACTCATTTTTTTAAGATATCTTCCTCAATTGGACTCATATCAGGGATTATAACAAGATATACAGCCACCATTTCGAAATATGAGTACCTGTACTTGGTGACGTACCTTTATCTTTACTTGGATTTTGTACCTGTACCAGTTCTTCTACTTGGGAGAGGGGGAGGGAGGGGCAACACGAGAGAGTCTGTTCGTTAGTCAAGCAAGTCTACAACAGTTGGAGGAAGCCAGACCAGACGGGTAGAAGCAGCGCGTCTCAGATCCCCAAACAAGCGCCATCTCTCGTCTTCCTGGGGTGAGTTCAAGTATAGTTATGTCACTATCTTTATTTTGTTAATTATTGCTAAATTTACCCCTTTATCCTCTAAGAAAATTTATGAGAAGGTTAAAGTTTCGGTGCAGTTTTGTTGACATCTTGCTTTAGCATTCGTCTAACCTTAAGTCAGAAAATCAGTGTCCTGTCATATCTAATTCTTGATCTTTTGATATATGGTTCGTCTCCTGTTTATATACCTATTATGTTTCGTGTTTTATTGATATATAATTATTCGTGTTCTGTGTAAATGATTCGTGTTCTGCTGAAGTATGATTTGTTTTTTTGTTCATATAATATGAATAGTGTGCGGTTGATATTATGATTCGTATTTTCTTTGTGAATCTTGGCAACAGAGAAATGGGGACTTACAAGAGAAGGTAGATGATTCGGGCTTCTGCTGGTATCTTCTTTCTCGTCTGCTTTCTCTCCTCGTCATTCCTGAATGGTGAGTTGATACTCGGGCCCACACCTGCTGATACCTGGCCTTCACCTACACCTGTTGATACCTGGCCTTCACCTACACCTGTTGATACCTGGCCCTCACCCACACTTGATGATTCTTGGCCTCCACCCACACCTGTTGATACCAGGCCCCCACCCACACCTCTTGATACCTGGACCTCTCCCACACCTCTTAATTAAAAACACGAGTAGGAGTATCGAATCTGAGACTTGATGATGGTAGGTACGCAGAGTCTGACCAGGACAAAGCCGAGGCATTGAACAGCTACTTTTCCTCGATGTTCACAAGAGAGGATGCGAACAATATTCCTGTGCTTGAGGATAGGCTGTATGGTACAGCACTGACCCACATTCTGTTCAAAAATGAGATTATAAGAAATAAACTGTCAAAGCTAAAGGTTAATTTCGACTTTGCATAGCGGTAAAACGCCCTTGGGTTTGTCCTGACCTCGCTTGCAACCAGCCTCTGGAACTCCTTTTCAGCCCTTCTACACTCTGCCTTTGCTTGTTTCCTGGCTCTTGCCTGCATCCTCCTGTCCAGCTCATCGTTCGACCTGACCCACGTCTTGGATTTCTTAGTTTTCTTCTTAACTTTGTCGACCGCCGCATGGTTCATGTGAAGCGGTCTCCTTGTAGTTCTAGAGGCACTGGGTTTGATCTTGGGTATGTATTTCTCTATCAAATGATTTACTTTACCAGCTATGGTATTTAGTGCAGCGTCTGCGTTCTTATGCCTTAATGAGTCAGGCCAGTGGATACCCTTCATCTCCTCCCTCATCCCCTCATAATTACACTGGTAATATTTGCACCTTGGCCTGGTTATGTCGTACACCGAGTAACAATTGAACCTGAAAGACAGCATTACACGGTGGCTGGTGCCAACTGGGGCTAGATGTTCCAGTTTGGCCACCATACCCTCTTCGTTTGTTATGATGAGGTCCAGTGGCTTGGGTGCTTGCTCCCCCCTGTAATGTGTCCGGTCTTTCACATGCTGGAACAGAAAATTATCTCTTAGAGTTTCTACAAAAAGAGTAGCGGGGTTATTTAGGTAATTTGGCGTGTGCTCACTTCTCAATTTGATGTCGCCATAGTTAAAGTCCCCCATGATAGGGAAGTGGCTAGGGTTGAGCCTCGCTGCATTGTCAATTAAGGCTCTGAAGTTCCTTTGGTTTGGTAAGCTGCAGTTTGGGGATCTGTAGATACACCCGACAATAAGTACATCTCCCTTCTACTTAATTTTACACCACTTTGGTTCTTCAAAAACATCTTCTCCCTGTACCCTCACCTGGCTTGCTCTAAGGTCTTGCCTAGCATAGATAACCACACCCTTCTTGCAAGTCATACCCGTCAATACTGAACTCATATTCCTCCGGGTCGATTCTCCTGTTCTTGTACAACAGTTCTACAACTCCTACTATATCGGGTTGGTGTACTTTCAGTAGTGTTTCAAACTCCCCTCTCTTATCAAGGAACGTGTCAGTATTATTGTACATGACATTCAAGCAGGAATTTGTTCTCGGTAACGTCTCTGCTCTTGGTAATAACTTCGGCCCCCATAAATTCTCAGCGGCTGCAGCATTTGCTCAATACACTGTGTTTTGCAGGGTGTGGTTAGAAATGTCATAGCTTACACGGCGCTCGCCGTACAAAACTGTACGAGGAAAATGAACAAGAGTCCGCATTCAAAAGAGAATGGGTAAAAGTGTTTAAAATATCAGATGAGGAAAATTAAGATTTTAATAGTAAACACGAGGAAAGGATAGAAGAAGAAATGGGAAGACACATACATAGAATCACCCCAAGGCAATATATAGACTATAACTTATTACCTAATAATCAAATAATAACTATGGGAGA